GTATAATATATACATATATATATATATATATACAGTGCATATATATATATAATATACACACAAAGTATGTGTGTGTGTGTGTGTGTTTTGCAATATGTTATTATTTCCCTCTATTTTACAGTTCCATGGGGAAATTAAAGTACTAACACGAATGATGGTTGACCCTAATGCCATACTTCAAAAAGCAGGACATAAGGATCTAGCATATACAAGAGGGGAAATATTGGATGTGGTTCAGCTCACTGATGCTAATAAAATACTGTGCCGCAACTGTGAAGGGAAATGTAAGTTGTTTGGATCATTTATACTCAGCACATGTGAAAAATGAAGGAATGAGTATAAAACCCAAATATTTTCTTATAGTTGGATACGTACCGCGAAAGGCTGTTCTGAAATTGTAAGTATTATTTTGTGTTCTTTAACTGAAAGATGCTAATAATAAGAATGCTTAATTGAAAGTAGAAGGATATAAACAAGAGGCAACAAAGTTAATAAGGGGGCTAGAGGGCCTCAGCTATTTAGCTTAACCACCTTCCGTCCATGGCCGTTTGTGAACGGCCGGATGGAAGTTGAGGCGCTTAAGAGTCATGATCACTATCTACAAATTATTCAATGCCAAAATTGCAGGCATTGTTCTTTACAGTCATAGCAGCAAAAATGGGAAACTCCCTTCCCAAGGTAATGGTAACAGTTGGAAACATTGACAAATTTAAAAAAAAATGTCTTCCTCAACATACAGGGATATGTATACTCTTCAAACAATTACTTTATCTCACTCACACACACAGGTTGGACTGGGGGGACCTGCATTTTTCCAACCTCATCTACTATGTATAAACAAAAGTAATAAGTAAAAAGTGTAATTAAATAAATTTTTTGATTCTAAAGAGTTGCGAAAAATATGAATTTATTATATGCCACAAACATGGTGTTTAAAAAAAAAGAAATTTCAATGATTGCTGCTATATTTAAATGTTTTCCTATGTTTGGAATAATGTGATTTTTGCTTTATATTTACTAGAGAGAAAAATATCTACAGTAATATCAGCTTTGGTAAGTTTTTGATGAAAAAGGTAATTTCATCATATGTAAAATATGAAATAAGCAACTATTCTGTCCAGGGAGACCCAAAATTTAAAATTGATTGAACACTCGTTCCTCCTCAAATTGCCATGGGCAGCATCATATTGACTAGGCATGAGCTTCAGGTTTGGGTCAACCATGAGTTTGACACAAACTCAAGCCATTATCAGTTAGAAAAAATGGCAAACTAATGCGATTGCTCACAACCATAGCAACCAGTTACAAATAATGCAGTTTATGGTCTTTGAACTGTGCCCAGGTGGCTTGAAAGGGCCAATAATGTGAGTTTTTCATGTGCCAGACCCCTCGCTATAAAAGTCAAGGTTCCAGGCAGCCTTTTGGCAGTGTATGTAGAGACTTGGAATACATAGGGACAGCTGACTCCCTCTTTTTTTTCAGAGGGAGATAGCTATTGTTATATTGCTATACATCAGTGACGTGCGGTACCTCTTGGTCCGGGTGAGGCATTCCCCAGCCTTGCCCCCAGCACGTCCCACCCCGTCCCCTGCCGGCCGAAGCCCCGCCCCTGCTGGACAAAGCTCCCC